CCACGAAATCCGGCTTCTGCTGGATGCTGATGATGTCTCTTTGTTGTCGACCCTTCGATTGAGTCTCATCTCAGCGCTTCCAGGCCTCGTTACCCACTGGCGATACACGCAGAGACCCCCCTTCTCAGCGCATGGGGGGAGAAGCCTTTTGACCCTAGGGAAGGAACCCTTTAGGGGCCACCCAGTCCATGTGTCCCTTCATTTTCATGTTGAAAACCTGGGTTCTATTGTTTTGGGTCGGAGGTTAAACAATTGTGTCCGGGGTTTACTGCAAAATTGCCCATAACTACCGGGAGTGTTTAGAAATTGTCGTAGCTTTTCTAGTCAGTGTTTGTGCTATATGGTTTTTGGAATCCAGAATATAAATTTTACAAATTATCTCGGGATACCAAGTAAACTAGAACGGCAAAACAAAGCACAAAACATTATATAAGGTCTTTTTGAGGAGTTTTATTTTTTTGAAGTTTATAGTTTCCAGCCTAATTATAATTAGCCTGTGATCCTGATGTCGATTTTATGCCCGTAACATATCTAGTCTAGCACCTCCTTTTCGAAGATATAAAAAGGTTTTATGTACCTTAAAAGCCAAGGAATAATAAGTTTAACCTAAGTTTTAACCTAGGACATTCTTAAAACCCATTTTTCGCCTGATTTTCTTGTGTCAGACTTTTCTATCAACGCATCGCCCATTTCTGCAAAGCTTCTGATCTTTTTTTCCCACACGTGCACCCCAATAAATTATGAATCCCATAGAATCCCTATTTCTGCGCGCGCCGACCCGAATCTCCCTGAGGTGCCGACGACATAAATATGTAGATCATGTGTATTTTCAAGCCGAGCGCTATTTAGCCGCGCCAGCCATCACCACCATCCCTCCCCTGGAAAGGCAAACCCGGAGAAATTAGTTTCAGACCAATTTTCTATGCCTTTAGCCGGTGGGGGATACGGCTCCCAGGGACCCCTGCAATTAGTGATGTCGCGCGGGCCTTTTCTTCAAGGGTGGAATCGGAAGGAGAAATTTGTTTTTGGGGTTTGGAGGAGGAGGAGGCGTTGCCAGGCACTTCTGAAGGACACTTTTTGCACCGGCAGACTGGTTTTGGAGTTAAGGGAACCTTTATTTTTAGGTTTGCTATGTTGCTTTTAAAATAGTGCTTCTATTTCAGTTTACTAGTGACGTAACGATTTACATATTAAATTTACCGAAATATATAGATATTTTCGGATCTCGACGCATTTCCTTTAATTTTTCATGCATTTTTTACTTACGTTCTAACCTAGCATCTAGGTATTTTAATCAATATATGTAAATTATCCTATAAAATAGAAATAGTTATTTTAGACAATATTCTCAAATCCGCAACTCCCTTCTCAACCTCTTTAATTCTCTTCCCGACAAATTACACCCCCCCCCCCAACACCTCTCCTCCCCTTTGAATGTGCCCCATTCCAAAAATCAAGTGAATGCACTCTGGTCCAAATTCATCACCTCTGAAAATCGACCAATCGACTTCACACTTCCCGTTTTTTTACCCCCCTCCTCCCTCCAGCCCGTTTTTGTCACAAGCGTTCCCCCAACAGACCCAACGGGCCACCACCAAGTGTAATGCTTTATTTTCACACATTCCACCCGTTCGCCACCCCTCCGCGTTTTCGTGAATTTGCCCCGGAACGTGTGCCGCTCAGAAATTGTAAAAAATTTAAAGAAAAAGTATGTGGGCCTCCTGAAAGTTAGATTGAGCGACCGGGGGGCCAATAGATTAGCGAATGAATTGGGGGTGATCAATCAGGATGGACTCAATCACCACCTGTCCCTTGGTTTGAGAGGAGGATGGGATAGAGGAATTGTCCACTATTTATCATTCAGGATGTAGCTGAGTGCTCAACAAATTACTATGGCAATTGTTGGTTGTTTAATTTAACGCATTGTGTTCAGATTTTAGCAAATTTTGATTGACACTTCGCTAAGGCACACAGAAGTTCAGCTAGGTGCTACATGGGCGCCTATTTACGGAGAGTGAGAGTAAAACAAAAGAGTGAGACAGAAAGAGAGCGGGAGCGACAGAGAGAGAAAGAGGCGGATAATGCAAGACGTAAATAGGCGCTCACGTAACCTATGCTTGGACTAGCCGCAAATCTAAGCCCTAAAATCAAGTTTTTAAGTTAGAAAAAACCATTAGTTTCGGACATCCCCCCAAAAAGGCAGCTCAGACAAGGCGGCTAGCTCCAAAAGAAAAAAGGGGGAAGTCAGCCAGGGGATCCATGCCCGCACGCCGTGATGCATGTCAAAAATCGAGCGGTGGTGCCTAGGGGCGAGAGCTGTTTTGCGGAATGACGGACAACTAGGGGGAGAGAGGAGGCCCGTAGTGTCTTCAAGAACGTCGCTGTTTGGACTTGTTTCTAATTCGATTCCGTTCGAGTTTCTGTTTTTCTTTTTTCTGATCGATTTTTGGCTAAAATTCGTGGTAAATTTAGTGTTCATTTTAGAAATTAACCAGGGTTGAAAAGCCGCTTCGCGACTTTTCAACCCTGGCCCCGTCTTACCCCCCCCATACTTCGTCACATTGCATAAACACCTGAATTCCTCAGCAGAAAAATCAAAAGCGTGTCTTCTTCCCCGTTATATAGACTCCCCCACTTCCGGTGCATGCAAATTGATTCCTAACAAAGAGGCCGAGCGAGATTTTCACAAAAACTTAATTTTAATATCGAAAACAGCTGATTTTTACAAATCTCATTTGCGTGCAGTCGTGCCATGACCATTACGCATCTAATGACGTATCATACGTACCCTCAACTTCCTCCCCTATTGAGATACGACTGGAACATACGGACGGAAGTTGCATGCAAATGCACACACACACACACACACACACACACACACACACACACACACACACACACACACACACACACACACACACACACACACACACACACACACACACACACACACACACACACACACACACACACACACACACACACACACACACACACACACACACACACACACACACACACACACACACACACACACACACACACACACACACACACACACACACACACACACACACACACACACACACACACACACAAACACTATTTTTTTATATATAGTAGGATCTCCTATGATCTGCAAGCTAGATAACCTCTTAAGGCGCTTGAATAGGCACAGATAACAGGTATAGCTAATTAGCATTCAATTAGAACCCTAAACTATCATTTTCGATAGTTTTTATCCAGCAGACCCCCTAAGGATTTTCATTAAATCCATTCCAAAACACACAAAAACCGCTCAGCCATAAATCATACAAAACCCCTGGGAATAACTCCACAGCCGCCCCCTTTTTGCCGATTATGAACCACCCCAAAAGGCAACATTTCCGCTGTCCCACCACGAAAACTTCCACCTCCAATTTTAGCGATAATTTCCCCTCAATCGTTGCCATCACCCCCATCTAGCCCATGTGGGCAGGTGACAACTTCTCCACCTGCACTCCCATCCACAACTTCTATTTTCTTGAGAACAGAACCAATTCACATTCCTTTTTCACTTACTGCTCCTGCCCCTCCCCTCCCGCCTCAAAATTCGTGGGCGGAAATTCGAAACTGGTGGTCGGTTTGCCGAAAAGTCTCAGTCTTTGTCTCCCACCCCAAAAAACTCGCACATTCATCGGGGCGGCCCGGCGTGCTGCGAATTCGAAGGCTGCTTAAAAATTCTGCCGTCTTCCAGGGACCACCACCCATTCCGGGCTCTTCCATTCAATTCGCGACCTCTAAGCAACTGAGATATTAAGGGTTCGTCTTTTTAAGGGGCTTTGTCAGCAGCGCCGTTTTTCCATGAATCTTGGAAAAATTTGAGTGCGAGATGTCTGCTCCTCTCCACGGGACGTGCTCTCCAACCGTACACGAACGATTCTTGGAAATCGGAGCTGCTGACAGAGGCGATTTGGCAATCCTAGAGCAGAATAGGGCATTTTTTTGACGGAGTTGTTAATAAGAAGTTAGTTCTTATGCATTTTTAGCCTCTCCCTCTTCCCCCACGGGTATCCCAGATCGCTAACCCATATGGGACACAGCCGGAAGTGTAGGATCTAGTACCTGTCAAAAACAGACTTTTTGGGGAGAGTGAAGTGCGTTTCAAATTGTTCGAGCTGCTTTAGAAGGGCAGGATGAGGGAGGATAGGAGGACATGTTTGAGGGGCCACACTCGAGCGGACCCAAATCGGATAACACCCTAATAAGACACGTCTGGCTCCCCCAGAGGGGGGTCCTCAGCGGTTGGGAAGGGCTGTTGGGCAGTGTGGCCAAGGGTCCCCGGAAATCATAGCTATCGTTAGGGTGAAGCTGGTCGCGGGGAGCGGCTTGTTTTGACCATTCCGCCTGAAGATTTGATTTGGGGCTGGTGATTTTGATGGATGATGTGTTAGGGGGTGGCTACTGACATTGATATTTTTACGCCATTTGCTTCCGCTTGGTTATTGGATGGTGGATTTCCATTGGACCGTACTACCCAAAAATTTTTATCGATCGAGAAAGTACTGGTGTAGTTCCTGACTTTCATATTTCTACGCTACGGATACCCTCAAACTTGGATTTTACTGTATCTTGAACCAGGAATCGTTCCTGTCCCTGATATTTTTACGTTTTTCCTCCATGCCATTTTCCATGATTTTCACCATAATACGCTCAAAACCTTCCCTGTCCTAGCTGAAACACACGTTGGCAGCAATCAACCGCGAAGACAATTGCGACCACACTTTGATTGAGCCGGCGCCCCCCGTTTGGTGGCAACAATCGCCCCCAGCTTCTTCTCCTCCCCAACTCGACCCAACCCGTGTGTCGACAGGACGCCTCTTAGGCGCTCGACCACTTGGGCCCCCCAGTTGGGCCCCTAGCGCTCGTTTCAGCTAATTATTCCTCTCGTGGGCCACACCGCCGGACCGGGGAGCACGCCGATATTGGAGGGGTAGAGTTCGGCGAAACTGCCGGCCACAATGGCATATCCCCAACACATGGATCCGTATTTTCGGCCACCGGACTACGGGTGAGCAAAGATTGGGGAGAATGGTTTTGGGAATTGGGTGCTTGTTTTGTTGTGCATCGTGTTACTGTACCTCCGGTGTGCGTTATAGAAAAGTGTACGTGGATATGTTTGATTTTTATACTTGTTCGTGTCGAAAAAGCGCAAAAAACCTTTCGTTGTTTTTGTCGGCGTCAAGATTTTTCGTGTACCAACGATTGGATCTCAAAGTTTTGTAAAGAAACCTGTCATGCGGAAAATCGACGTAAAATCGTGAAAACAATTATCACAATTCTCATAATTATCAAATTTTCAGAATTATCCGGACAAAACGAAAAACTTATTTTTCGCCTTTCCCACTGTTTTCTGCCAACCTACTGTATTTCATAGAAGTTTTTTTTTGAGGTATTTTCAATGTCCTGCGCAAAAAGCTTAGATCCCTAAAAACTAATCTAAAAATTTTAATGTTAACGGAATATTTAAATTTGCGTATTCAAAATTCGCGACTAAACTCTTCATGATTTGGAGCACCCGTCTATTCAACCCCCCATACGCAATCCGCCACCGTCAGGCTTCTCCTCGCTCCAACGTGACCAACCAGACCTGTCCCAAAAAATGCGGATTACATTTTTCATTTCGCGGCCCTCTCCATCCCCCCCTACCAAATACCCCCAGCCGCTTCTGCTCCCCTGCTGTATCGCATTGTTTTTCTGAGGAGCCTCCACAGGAATGGGTCCCCATTTCGGATGCGCGTGGTGTGCTGCTGCTGCTGCAATGAGCACTGCCTACCCACCATCCGTTCAAGCCCCGACAAAAATTAAGTGTTTCTGCATGGGACACCCATTTTGTCGGCCTCTATCGACATGGATAAGCCATATGGTGGCCTCTTTTTTCGCCCTCACCCTCATCTAATCCTTGTTTTTGAGGGATTCTCGGCTCTGCTCCAGGCCGCCCTGTATTATCCCCAAAATTGCATTTTCTGCGAGCGCCTCCTTCCTCCCCGGCTCACTCATTAATCCTGAGCGTCTTCCCGTGTAAAAAAGTTTCCTCTAAGTGTCACTTAGTCACTTTGTTAAATCCCCATAGAATTCCTTTTCTTTAATCTTGAAATCCGATTTCTGATTGCCCCTTTCTGCCGCCATAAAATAAAAACACCATCCGTCGCCCAGGAGCTCCCCATTTTCGCTACCCATTCCCAGCTATATTATTGCGAACGTCTCCCATGCTCCCCGGTGCGCGTTAGATTCTAAAATGGCGCCCTCTATTTTTACCGTAGACGTAGATCTTGTCCATAGGCATTCATCATTCTTCTTCTGCTTCTTGCCAGGGGCTCATCATCTGCCCGCAAAATTGGGTCGGTCGTCCCTGAATTCGACGTGCGGGGATTCTCTAAAAACGTTGGAAAAGCCGTTCGTCCCCGCCCCAGACTGGAAATGGGCCTTGGCAGGCACAATTCAAGCCTATCTACGCCCATCAGGTGGCCAGAAATTAGCTGCAGCCGTCGGGTGGCTCTATTCCGAGAGTAGGCGCCGCTACTAGGCCCCACACTTCCGCAATTATCCATTAAAATTGGCGCGTTGTTGGCCGGCGGGACTTGTCGGGTGGGGCCGACACGCGAAGAATTAGGCGCATCTCGTTCTCTCCTGCTCAGTTGTTGAGGTTCTGTGTAGGGCAATCCGACCCTGTTTGCTGAATTATGCATTCTTTCTCCTCTTCTGGTGCTCGGGTGGGATCGGCCTCGGGGCTACACACTCAATTTGAATCTCTAAACGGCTGCTCCCGGGGGTGGCGCTCTAAATTTCTGAAGATCTACGCGCACATCAGCACTTCTCGATGGTCCTTTACCGGAATTGGTTGGGTGCTTGCGCCAAGGTTTTTTCCTTTTTTATATCGTTTTTTCAGAAAATTTCTTGGTATTATTTTTGCCCACTAATCTTGTAATTTACGACGCGTAAAATGGCTAAAAAGTACTACAACAACCCTTAATTTCGACTTTACAACCTTTTAAAGCATTTAGCATTAATTAAAATTAATAGGTCATGTATACCTATACTGTCTTTGATTTTCGAGACCACTTCTTCAAGCCGACAAAAACAGCTTCCCCGCCAACCAAATCCCCCCTACAAATCTGGCCACGGCCTAAACCACCCCCCGACGACCTGTCATACCCCATATGGGAAAGGGCGCAAATTCAGAAGCCCTTCCTCAATTTCCCCTTCCTTCCTCCCCTTCTTTCCCTTCTTCTCCAGTAGATAAACCTCCCACTTGAGAGGCCGATCCCATTCAGCCAGAAAACACCTCCTCCTCCCCTCTCGAAGCTTATGGCGACTTTAGCCAAGATTCCGCCGGCAAGTATTACCAGTATCTTGAACAATGACGTCTTGTCGTCGGAGAAGAGCGCGGCGCTCTTGCGGGATTTTTTTGAAGATATGGTATCGAAGAGGTAATCTATGGGCAGTAATTGGTATGTAGAACATTGTGAAAATTCCTCCATCTAAGCCCGGTCTGCCTTGTATATCGCACTTCATATAATAAATCTTAAAAGGGATTTCCCTTACTTTTTAAAGTCTTTCTAACACAGACGTGCGTCCAAGTAATAGGCATGGACCATAACTCCTGCAATGTCCTATATGTAGGCACTACGGTAGCATCTCAAGCACCAATTCTTCTACTGTCAACCCTACGATCCTATCCAGACCGCCCCAGACCACAGAAACCGAGAAAACGGTTTCAACACCTGAGCACCCATCATCCAACAATCCAAAAAGGGTATCACATTACGAGGATGTCTGAAGCATGATTGACATCCTACAAGGCCGCCCTTGTTCCTAGCCATGCCGATCCCTTTTCGACCTGGCAGCCGCTGTAGGGGGCTTGGGTGTGTGTTTTGAGAAGAAGCCGGAAGGTCGATGTCTTCTTCAGTCACTTGCCGTTTCTATAAACAACTTGGTGTGTGTGTATGTGTGTGTATGTTCGGTGCGTCTCCTTGGAAGTGGGTGGGGTGGAGAATTGAGGGTGGTGGGTGTGTGGGTTGAGGTCCATTTGTGTGTCTGTGTTGCTTGGCCCACTCCAATCAGAGACAACCCATTTCGGGGTCTCTGGCTGGGCCGCCTGTTCGCTCTGCAAATCGAGCCTTACCCGCCTCTCTTTCCATCCACCCTCAGCGTTTATTGGTGTGTGGTGGAATTCATTCTGGGGACCCTGGTGGCTAATCGCTGGATGTTCCCTCGTCATCATGGACATTATTGCCGGGCGCAGTAACTTCCAGAAAAGGTGTCGTTTCCGGGGTTTATTGGGTGGTAAAGTTAATTGTTTGTATGGTAGTGGTGTTGTGGTTTAGTGTCGTGCCTTGAATGCGGTCCAAAGAGTTCATAGTTTAACTCTCACAAGCATAAGGTAGCCGCTTAAAAACCTGCTTTTGCAAGTTAGATAAGCTTTAATTTGACATAATAAAACCGACGACATAATACCTACTTTTACGTTTAACGAAGCCGCTCAAAAAAAAATCACATTCGCTAGCAAGATTATCCTTAAGTTTTAATACTTATTCCCTCTTTTAACGTACCCCGAAAAAGTAGTAGTTTAACGTTAACCTAGGTGTAAGAGAGTTATAGAAAAGTTGATTTCACTAGCAAAATTGGCTTGAATTTAACGTAAGATTTAACTTTACAATAACATAGTTATTTCTATATTTTTTCAGCGAGTCGTACAAGTTCATCCGGATGGCCGATGACCTCCACGATGTGGCATCCTACTTGTCCGATATGCGCCTATGCTTCATCGCTTTGACCATCACGGGGTAAAGGCAATATAGTACGAAACATGAAAAAACATTATTACAGTTACTTGGTCTTAATAATCTACCTAATTTTGCTGTGCGTGCGGAGAAATCGGCGGTCACCACAGAGGCGGCGTAACTGGGATTTTCCGGTAAGGAGCTATCAAAAAAATTATACCTTTTTTGATACCCGTTTATTTAAAGCATCCTTTTCTATTTTTGGCAATTTAGTTACTTTCTGCGGTAACCCGGTAAATAAATATAAAACTTATACCGTATCTGATAATACTCTAAAGTAGCATTTTTATTTTAAGGCTACTTATACCAATTTAATAAACCTAAAATTCCAGGAAAACCAGCGAGACTACCCACAAACCACCCAAACAAACGGCGACGATCTCGTTTCCGTTCGAAGTGACGGCCAGACTGGCTATATGGGCCGAAATCACCATAGGTACAGAGTTGGTATCTTCTAGCTTGCTGTCAACCGCATCAATCCCTTCCTACCCAGTAGCTGATAGCTGTACTTATATATTATATATTTATTATCAATTATCATTCTATAGTGAACCGAACCCGCCAAAAATCGTCCATTTTTCTTTAGCGCACTCCAGTTTTGGAAGCACAGTATCCCTGTGCACACCGTGTATAGCAGCCGGGTGGGCGCATCCAGTTCGATGTACATAATTTTTTGCACCACCAACAGCCACTACTGACTTTCCATTCCTTTCAGTTTCTTCGTCAGGCAGGGGATGATGGTCCTGGGCTTTTGATGGGGTTGAGAAACAGATTTTATTTTAGTCTCATTAAGAAACGAATCTTTGTTCTCAACCCCTAGCAAAAACCGGTGCACTAGCGTCTCAGGGGTTTGCGAATGCTAGCAAATTGCTCCCCTCCCTTTTTAGCGAGCCCATTTTTGTTTCTCTGGCGAAAATGCGGGCTATGTTTTCTCCTAAATTCGGGCTGCGTCTCCGAATGCACGCCAGTTATATTATTTTCGTCCTGCACGCCTTCCTTTTTTCTGGGAGATGCGAGAGAGCGAGAGACAACGAGAGGACCAGAGAGGCTGAGAGAGGCGAGAGAAAGGGAGAGAGGGGGAGAGAGAGAGAGAGAGAACGAGAGAAAGCGCGCACTGAAAACAGATTATCTTGCCTATATCGGATACGGGGGTACGGATCGCTTTCTAGACTTGGGTCTTCGGGCCTAGGAAAATTTAGACGTCATGGAAAACCACAAAATTACCACAAAAAATTTAAGGTGATCCCTCTTAAAGGCCCAAAAACCAAAACCATTTTTTAGCTAAATTTCCCTATCCTTTTCAAAGCTGAGAAATTCCGGCCTAAACGCAAGGAGGAAGACTTTAAAATTAGACATACGGCATGCGAACGGCAAAATATTTTTGAAAACTTGCTATCGCACAATTTCAGCCGAATGGACTCTCGCGCCACACCCTCCTTCATGCGACACGGTCACATGAACCACCAGCAAACAACAAGGCTGATGGCAGACCATGATTCATCTACAGTAAAGCACACCGTCCCCTCAATTGTCACTGATCCACCTGCTGAAGAAAAAGCATCTCCAGGAGCCAAGGTAATCCGAATATTCCATATAATTAGAAAAATGTCATATTCCTTTCAAAATTGTGAATCAATTCAACACGTTGATCCCCAGAAATTACCCCTAGAGATTTTCGTCCTCAACTGGGAACCCATAAAAAAGGATGGGATACGGGATAGCGCCCACTATAAAAGGCGAATACTTTTCTTCCACCCTTCCACTAATTGAATTGACGGTTGGGAATTCAAAGGCACACAACACTCGATTTACAACGTTGCCAAACACCCAATATTCTATTTAGAGATTTTAGGTGCCGGCACTTGTCTCAAACGCAGAATAATCCAAGATCATCCCCTCAATATGTCCATCCAACGAACAACGCCATCCAAAAATTTCTTCCCACATCAACGCCGACGCAAAAAATCAATGATTTCCATGTCAACTTCTTGTCCGTGGACGGGTGCTAGTAGAACTTATCAGAGACATAGTCAATCGTCTGCCTGGAGCATAATGCCCCCAATCGTATTACAGTATGATCTCCCTCCTTTATAAAAACAATCCTCCATCCATTTAGCTCAAAAAGTGTGGCCATTTCGGTGCTAACTGCTCTAGTCAAAAATTCCCCATAGCCTGGAGATACAAGCCCGGTTTTGCGCGCTGTTTTTCAGTTTCTTTCAGGTCCACACCGGATTGGGTTTGGCCCGTTAAACATTCCATTTTAAAAACAACCCCACACGTTGTCGCATTTTTTCATGTTGCTTTGTCGACCTTTGTGCCTTACCTGAAAAGGTCTCCCCAGTATGACTACCCATACCCTCCAACTACAGAAAGTTGTCTCTTCGGTGGTTCTCTTTTAGATTATTATCAAGTAATAAAGTATCATGATAATGTAATTGGACGCAACTTGGTGTTTTCATAATATATTTTTATCAAAAAGGGGAACGCGCGGGAAGGCAAAACTCGCGGGGCGGAAAGGCGAAGGGGCGGGTGGGGATAGGAATGCAAAATGTCGCACCTTGGATTATGAGCAAATGTCTGCTTGGGTTTTGAAAGCGCAATACATGCAAGATTTGAGCTGTGGAACGCGCGCACGAAATTTGGAATAAATAGGATAGAACACCCTAGCCATTTTGCACAATCCAAGGCACTTCCTTCTGCCCAAAACACTGAGGACACACACTTACGGACTAGGAGGAACTTGGTCGTGACCAGTGGTGGCAAGAGGGCATCAAATGCGGAGCAAAAGATGCAGAGTCATCGCCACCAACTGGACAAGACTTGAAAAAACGTTACCGGCATGATTGGGGCTGAGAACTGCAGGGGGAACAATCACAAAACAACAAAAAGAAGGTCGTTTCTGGGGTGGGGGGGGGGCGGGAGGCGGGAGTGGGTTGCAGCCATTTCGGTATGTCGGTGAGAGCAGGCATAGAAGTGAATTTGGTTTAGGCGCCCACGGGGGATGAGAAGGCAAAACTGGGAAGCGGGCTTGAGAAAGGAACACGTAGAATTGGGTGGTGACGGGTGAGCAAATTCTGGGGAGGGACGAGACGAGGAAGGCATATTTTGAACTAATAAACAAAAACAACAGACGATGGGTGCTGTTACCGCACTGCCACCGGGGCCAATTTGAATAGAGGACAAATATGCGGGAAGGGAGGTAAGGGAAGCTAAAACTAAATAGTAAACTAGTTCGTTTTAAAAGAGAGTTTTGGCCGGAGCTTGGCACCTATAGGGGGAGAGAATGGCCGCGGATGGCAGGGAGGCACAGCCGCGAACCGATCACACTGACAAACAATGACAGACTTGCGCGCTGGGACCCTGGGGGCTTACAAGAGCTGCGGGGATGGGGCACGTTTTGCAGTATAAACCACGCAAAAAACATCAATTTCTCAAAGTTTTTCATGAATAAACGTGTACTACAACGGTTAACTGAACGAACGGTAGACTAGGGATTAATAAAACACATAAAAGTTTTCCAAATGGAACAAATTTGCAAATAAAATTTTGCGACAACTATAGAAAGGTTAAAGTTCAGAGCGAGAGCATATTCTAAGGTACGAACGTGCAAATTCGTAGATTAGAAGCTCCACTGGGAAGACGGGGCTCCATCCAGTGCGCCGGCGGTTCCAGGCTGCGGATCTTCATCGTCCTCCACACTAGAAACACAATTTTGAAATAAGTTGACCGAACAACTACCTGAAGTGATGGTCTATAATCTCATAAGCAATCTTATAGATCTCCTCATTGTCGTGGTTTTGGAGCTGCTCGATCTTGTCCAATCCACCACATTCCTCGATAATGTTTGTCAGATGGGTGAGTGCGGCCTGATCGTCGGAGGCCATCTTCAGAATATTCTGCAGACCATCGAGGATCACGTTGATGATCTGAGGATCCTTGATGTCGAGCAGCTTGCACATCGGCTGAACGACGCCCATCTGTACCATAGAGTGCACCTAAATGGGTTTAAAAGTTTAATTTCAATACTCGCGCTAACCTGAGCGGGACTTCCGGAGATCGTAACATTCGACAGGGCCCAGGCAGCTTCTTTTTGGGTTTGGAAGTCTCCATCGGAAAGCAGTTTGATCAACGTCGGTACAAGGCCGGCGTCGAAAACCATTTGCACTTGTTGTACGTTTCCGGCAGTGATGTTAGAGAGGAACCAAGCAGCTTCCTAAACAATCGGGTAAAATATAAAATGTCAGTGATGTACTTTATTGATCTTTTCCTTGGCGTGATTGAGCAGTTTTCCCATATGATGGAGAACGCCGTGGTCGAGGACCAACTGGGTTTGGTCATCCGTTCCGGTGACTATGTTGCCGACAGCCCGAAGGGCAGCTGTTTGCACCTGAAACCAAATATTAAATATATAGCACGAAAACCCGATAATAAACGACAAGAGTTGAAAAACAGCTTCGCGGCTTTCAACCCTGGCCTGTCTAGGACTCCTCCCGGTTTACAGTTTTTACTGTACTTCCCGAAGGCCGGCGACAAAAAAGGAAAGCACGCCCTCTGTTTGTTGTTTTGATAAGCTACCTGCACTTCCGGTATATACCAAGTGCTTCCTAGCAATTTTATAAATACCAATTTTTAATAGCGAAAGTGTCATTTTCGACAAAACCCTGGTGTGTCGGCAGGCATTTCCAGCCCTTTCTACAACTAAAGACGCTGATTCCTTATCGAAAAAGGCTTCCCTGTGGCTCTAGGTGTGGTACGGCCTCACGGAAGTGTCTACGTACATGTACACACGCAGAAACGATTTAAATAGTAGAACAAACCCGTACTAATGCCCAAAAAAGGGTGCCAGCTTACCTTAACTTCGTTGTGGGAAAGGAGAGGGATGACAACTGGGACGATCTTGCTGTCTATCACCATCTGTATCTGCTCGTTGCCGCCGTCCGTCAGATACGAAATGGCCCAGATCGTGTCGACCAGGATATGGGTGTCGGTGTGGTGAACGAGGATAGCCAGCGCGGGAAGCAGCACTTGTATCAGCTCGCGGGCGGGCGGTGGCTGCTGAATGCATATCTGAGAATGAAATAGTAGATTTACCTTGCTGCGACACAAGTTGACGAGCACCCAAGTAACGTTGCGCAAAAATCCGATGGGAGTTTCTTGGCGGATGAAAGACAGGAGAGGCTGGACAAGGCCCTGCTGGATGCAGAAATCGCGGTAGTGTGGACCATCTCCTGTAAACAAATTTTTGTATAACAGTGGCGAAAATTACCCAACCTATGATATTTCCAAGAGCCCAAACCGCTTGCTCGCACACGTTCACGCTTTCGGAGGAAAGCAGTTCAAGGAAAAGCGGGATAGCACCGGCCTCAACAACGGCCGCCGTCTGCTCAGAAGTGCCCGAGGCGATGTTGGTGAGGGCCCAGGCGGCCTCGAACTGGATACCGACGCTAAAAAATGAACAATTACAGCCAGAAAAATAGATACGTACGAGAAAGATTTCTCCAGGCAGCGAACGAGGATCGGAAGCACGCCGCTGCCAATCAGTTGGTCGACGGGAGGGTTGCGCTCGGTAGAGAGCATACGGCGCACCTAAATTAAAAATTCGTCCGCTAATTATAACCGAAAAATTGCTCATTGAAATTCAGGAAATAGCTCCAGAAACAGTTCTATGTGTGGCTTTTCGAAAGAACCAGCATCAGGCTATTTTTGAAGCAATTATTCCATTTTTCGGATTCAAGGTCGTACAGACAACGCAGAAAATATACAAAAACACACCTGCTGCACGGCCTCCTGCAAAGTAGTCGATGCTTGTTCGGCAGTTTCCGGATCCGTAGCATTGACGACGCCCATGAACATCTCGTTCAGCATCTGTACGTCCATTTGAGTCGGCGCATGACCCGTAGGAGTCGTAGCCGAAGGTCCAGCTCCGAAATCGCCCTCAACCCTAAATTCAACAATTCACACCGTCCCAACAACGTGCACAATTAAACCGCCGTACCAAACACGAAAAGTTCTGCCACCGTAGGAGTTATTTTACACGCAACACCCCGTTTTTAACGTTTCGTTTTGAATAATGCACATGAGGTTGTGAAGGAAAGGGGCGTAGAAGTCATAGGCGGGGAAAAGCCCGTGCTTTTGGTGCGCAACAAGGTGATAAAATTTGAATATGTTTACGAACAGGAGCTGCGACAGCACTGAGTTGGCCGGCGAGGCTCCATTATCTCTTAAAAGGCGGGCGAACATATGCAAAACGGGAAGTAAACTGACTCAGCCAAGTTGCGACGTTTGCTGAGAAGATCCTCGCGTTTGTCCTTACGGATGGTGACGACCTCATCGGCTCGGCTTTTGCGCAGGGCTTCTTGATCTTTACCCTGGTTCTTGAACTGCGATGAGAATCGCGACTCCGACGCCATCCTGGAAAAGATTAATTGTAAGAGAAGGTGTGAGAATTCCGCAACAAATAGATGGAAAACGATATATTTTCCGCAAAAAAATCACCCAGTTTATAATTAGTTTATGTTTTATGTTTTGATTCGCGGATAATTTGTTTAGTTTTTTCGCCATTAATAAATAGAAACAGGCTGAAGAAGTTGTGCGCAACGCTGTTCCAGAAAAAAGGGTTTGTGTTGATTATCGGACCCGAAACAACAACAAAAATCGCCCATCAATGACCCAAAGAGATAAGTCCCGATCTCGTGCTGGATTATTATTATACAAAAATCAAACAAAATTCCCGCGATCACCGACAAGGGGCAAATTTCGCAATAAATGTCAAGAAAAACCCCCGGCATGCTGCGGGAAACGGCTAGAAAAAGGCGACGCGACCGCCACGCGCAAAGTGCGAAGGGATAGGGGTGGGTCAAGACATCAGCTGGGTGCCGGACATGCAGGGGACTCTATCGACTAACACCCCTGCGTACAAAGTAGCCTCACGTCCAGTTACTCCCACAATACCTTGGCTAAAGCGTCATTTTTGTTTCAGAACCTGGATTTACATGCCAATTTTCCATTCTTTCTTACTTTCTCTTTACGAATAATCTGAGTAATTGATTTCACCTAACATTACCTATTCCACTACTTCAAGTTATTCTTTGAAAACTAATTTACTTTGCTACGCTGTTAACCCAACTTGTGTGAAGTAAATTTACTTTCTTACGGAACGGAACCATAGTTGTGCCCCCCGCGTAGCCTACATATACCATAAATATAACGTTCCGAACAACCAAACCGCCTACTATATTTAAGGTGTCTATCCCAGCGCAAAAGCAATATTTTGAAAGAAAATAAGCAGAATTTTAACATTCTGATAGCTAAGAGAAAGACCCACTGACAGGGCTTGGTCGCCCTTCGCCTCCGCCGCCGGGTGTACCGTCACGACCTCTAAAATTAACAAAACTAGATCAGAGCCATACGACATTCGTGGCGGGGTCAGTGATTTCTTGGATTCCACCTTATTGGTGAGCGCAAGCAGGTGCTAAAAAGATAAATTTTTTAATACTTTTTCATAAATAATAAAAATACATAATAAACAAATTAAAACTCACATCCGGCGTCCGGTCACTACCCCGAAAGTCACTCCCCGAAAAGTCACTACCCCGAAAAGTCACTACCCCGAAAAGTCACTACCCCGAAAAGTCACTACCCCGAAAAGTCACTACCCCGAAAAGTCACTACCCCGAAAAGTCACTACCTCGAAATCGTTTACTCCGAAAAATGATAGCATTGTTTTTCCCAGAAAAATCCAGTTTTCATGCGGTTTTCCTATGAAAATTATTTCCGGTAGTGCCTTTCGGGGTAATGACTTTTCGGGGGCAGTGACTTTTCGGGGTAGTGACTCCTCCAAAGGCTTGTAGTCACTGGCTCGGCCGGTGAATCTGGACGTGTCGACCGGGTCTAAAAAAGAGAATCCATCTTATTTTAATAAACTACCAAGTTTCTGTGCGGCCATGTAGGCCCTTACGCTTTCCCGCATTTCTTCCACCGTCATTGGCTCGTAGGGGGAAATAGCGCTGTGAAATAAATATGGATAACTTCAGAAAGCAATAAGTTATGAATCAAATTGCTATCAAATCAAATCATCTATTCGCTTGGTAACATCTTAGAATTCAGATCGTTCAGCTGATTACAGGAATGATCTAAAGAAGACGAATAGTTAAGAAGTCTACCCCTTTTGGGAGGGTAGATTCTAGAAGAAGAAGACACAGTTAGAAATGTAAACGTCAGACTAAACCTAGGGATTTACAGAAAGGAATGTCCTCCTAAAAACATTAGGAGGGACAGGGGAAGAAGTAAAATTTAGGTCAAAACATGAATGGGAATTTGAACTTTACTAACCCTCTTTTTGTTCGTTTTTACTATTATCGATTTGACTACTTCTTTTAGGTATTTTAAAACTAAGTTAAGAACCTAACTTACTTTGCTATTCAGTTCACTCACCTTGTGTGCGGTAAATACACTTTTTTAAAGAACGGAATCATACTATTCAATTTTCGGTGTTCCACTATATGGTGACTTTTTTTTATAGTTTGATTTTTACAACATGAATGTGTGTTATTCTATTTATTAACTCATTTCCTCGAGAGCGTTTTAATAAAACGCTTTTAGATGCAAACCGATGAGTTACGTCAGCTCGGTAATAAACATTATCGACATGGTCGCCATTTAGAAGCCATCGACTCTTATTCAAAAGTACCGCTGAAATTTCATAATAACCATAAGTTTTAGGCTATCGATAAAAATCCGGGCATTCCACAACTCTACACGAACCGCGCTCTCTGCTATAATTGTGTAAGCTTTTCCGGGCGCTTTACAAGCAGCAAAAACCACGCCCAAGGCTGGACTAAACACCGTGTTTTAGATAAGAGCTTACGATAAGGCCGTGCGAGACTGTAAACGGGCCATCGAACTTGATTCGTCAGTTGTCAAGGTAGGACGCGCCAAAACAAACAAACAAAAAGATGTTTTTAGGCTTTCTACTTCTGGGGTCAGGCGGCGATTCAATTGAAGCAGTTTGACGTAGCGATAAAAGTCTTGACTAGGGCCAACGATCTGGCGCAAGCCCAACAACTGGTAAAGTCACAAAAAGTTTGGCAATTTTTTTGCAGAACTTTGGCGATGACATCACAAGATCGATTCGTGAAGCTAGCAGGGAAAAGTTTAAAGTAGAGGAGAAACAACGCCAAAATGAAGAAGCTGACCTGGAGGCTTATCTTACCTGGTTTGTGAAAAAAACATTGAAAGTAGAAAGAGTTTTAGTTTAATCGAGCAAGACCTTGACCGGAAGCTGGGGCAGCTTGAAATTGCCGAGCAAAAGGAGAACCAAGAAGTGTCTGAAGAAGTAGAGTCGGCGAAAGATGGCAAGCCAAGCCTTGATGAGCAAGAGCTGCGAAACGAGGCCCAGAAGCGTAAAGCTTTACTGCACAGTGTCTTTGCTACGGTGGGCAGGATCTCGCACGCTAACCCTACCATTCAATTCTTTAGATTGAAGAGCAACGTTATTCGCGGGAGATTCCGGATTATCTGTGTGGGAAAATCTCGTTAGAGGTGTTGAAGGACCCCGTAATTACACCTTCTGGTTTGAAATCCAAAGACATTTGTCATAGTATATATTAATAGGTATTACTTATGATCGGTCCGATATCTTGAAGCATTTAAATCAAGTAGGACATTTCGATCCGGTTAGCCGGTCGCCATTGAATGAAAAGGATTTGATCCCGAATTTGGCGATGCGTGAGGTGAGAATTTTCAATGATTGAGTTAATAGAATTTTTAGGTACTTGATCATTTCCTTGCTGAAAATGAATGGGCCCGACACGAAATGTAAAAAATGTACCTAGCCTTAAAGTAAGCGCCACTGCACAAAAATATCTCCCACAGCACCATTCGGGTATTTTGCTATACTTTTTCAGTCTGAATAAATTGCTTTTCACGCAGCATCATTCATTTTATTACTCTTCAACGAATAGATTATGCTTTTCGACACTAACATTCACAGTTCCTACTATATGAGGCGGGGTATATAAATATTGGCACACGGCTTTTCGTTTTGACAATTCGATAGCGAGGCCATTTCACAGAAGTTTCCGGGGAGTTGCTGAGCATTTTAGAGACGAGACACTTCGTTGATTGATCAAACTTCAAATCGGAGAGTAAGGCCATAGTGGTAGGGGTGGATTATGTATGAAGGGGGGTCGAGGCAGACAGGTTGCTAGAGCCAAATTTAAATTGTAGCAACAAAAAGCTTAAATCACAAATTGATCACGTATCACAGCTGGTGGCCTTGCGCCGGACAAATAACATTTACAAGGAGATAAAGGCCTTCTTGGAGCCTTGGTAATTAACGTTGTTTGAAAGAATTGCGTGGCGAGCAAGTACATAATGTAAAAAATGGACACCGCAAAATAACCCATGATTGGCGACACACGAATTGGTTGGGGGGTAACGGGGGTACGTACAAGTAGGGTGGTTTGAGATGAGGGAAGGATAGTTTAATGACCGTCAGAGAGGTGCATTCCGGAGTCGGTGGTGTCGTTTCCGTCTTGCTTCTCCTAAAAAAATAATTGGAAAAAATGGATTTTGTTACCGGTGGTCGGAGGCCTTCCTCGGTTTCAGTTTCGTCTTGAACACGTTCAAGTTGAGGGACTTTCATGGTCAAGTCGGCGACGATGGCGCTCATGTCATCGGAAGCCAGACTCATCGCGTCACCACCGGAAACCACCGAGTGATGGGAACCCGCACACTAAAAATATAAGATCCTAATTTTATAGTCTGTTTTTTAGTTACTTAAGAAATTTTATAAAAGAACTTACGCTCGAATCATCCTCTAGATCACAGACCGAGGACCCACGAAGTTGATTCTTCGTCCATTTCTCAGCGCTCTAAAAATACAAATTATTTGAATAACCTTCTAATAACCAACCTTCAGCTCAAGATGATTGATCTTTTGCTGTAGATCCGTGAGGTTCTGGATCGCTTCCGAATATTTCAACCTCTGCATGATGCTCTCCTCATTCAGCTCCGACTCGCGTTGCATGATCTTGGCCTTTTCGGACTTCAACGACTCTTCCATCTCTTTCTTGGCTTTTTGGATCATGATCTTGTCCTCCTTCAGCCTCTTCAATTCTTCGTCCTGCCTTCTCAACTGGTTGGTGCAGACATGGTTCTGGGTCTCCATTTCCATCACCTTTTGCCTCATCTCCTTCAATTCGGCCACTGTGTCGGCTTCTTTAATTCGTACACCCATCAGCTGGTCTTCCAGTTCTCGGACTGAGATTCCGTGATCTTCCTCCGAACCGGACCCCATTAGGGTTGCCGTGATTTTCGCTAATCGAGCCCTGGCTGACGTGAGGGGTGGCGAAGGCTGTTGCGGAGTTGTGGCTGGAGTGTCGGCTGGTGTGGTTCCATTTTCTTGGAGGGTGGCCGATGCTGGGTCAAATGCTCGCACATGGACATATTTGGCCCACTGCTGCTCGAGCTCGGATAGCCGTTGCCTCATTTCTTTTAGTGAGAGGTTGGCTTCAGCTTCTCGCATTTTGACGGAAATGAGCTCTTCTTGGAGGCACGCGATACCTTCTGCAGGCTCATGCTCACGGAGGCGTTTGTTGGATGTTTCGAGTTCCTGGATTCGAATCTTCTGATCCCGAATCGTATTCTCGCTGTCGGCCTTTCGGTTGGTGGTCTCGATGAGTTCTTGCTGGAGGGCGTGAATGTGCTCAATCATTCCGGTATCATCCACTTGGATCCCGATCTCCACAGATTCACCGCGGCGCCCGGAGGACAATTCCCTGAAGGGTGGGAATTAATGGGGAGGGATATTATTGTTTACCTGATCGTCTCATAGGCGTCCTCAAGCTTCTTGTGAGCATCGGAGTTGATGTCGCGCAGTTTGTAGAGTTCATGGGAGATACTGATGCAGTTTTCGGCTTCTTGCGCGAGATTGACCTGGAAAATTGAGGGATAGAACTGGATAGTAATATGTAGTTATATATTCCAATAGTATCCGCTTTCCATCCCCGCTTTCAGCCCCTACCCGTTCCAAAACCATTACAATAGCGCCCTTCCACTCCCCGTTGCACCCCGCATAATTTCCGGCCTCACGCGTTCACATCCGACCAATTTTTCGCGCCCATCGACCGATTTGTATGTGCGGGTCGATGATGGGAGTGCGCGCGCCCCACCCTCGTAGATTCCGGTCCTTTTACACTTGTTTTCAGGGGCAGGCTAGCCCCGGAATGTCGTGGAGAGGGGTGAAGGTCTGTTGTCTCTGGGGCATATTTGGAAAATGAAACGTTGGGGGTATAAAATGACGCTGATAATGCGTCAGGATGTGGATCATCATTTTAGATGGATTGTTTCGTACCTGGCCTTTCACAAGTCGATCCGCCAATGCGCTCGATTCAGCTTCAAGGTAGTCGATACGCTGGCGAAGTAGTCGGTTTTCAGTCCGCAACCGCTGAAAAGTGGAGGTAACTTTAGAGTTCGATTAAAGTGTATTAAAAACTTTTGATCATAACATCTTTCTGATTGACCAAGGACTTGACAAGAACATCGAACGTTTCACTTTTCCTCTCCCAACTTGCCCTACCCTAAGCCTACCGTGCCCTAAATCCCTTCCGTTCCGATCCCTTCCACAAAACCCCCGTAGGTGTTCTCCCGAAGACAGCCATTTCTCGCGTGCTGTGACTTGGGTGGGGTGTGGTTGGTTTGTTTGGGGGTTCTTTTGTCTTCGCCGCGCTCCCCGCTACGACCCAATTGAATGGCTTGGGCGAAACCGTCTCCGGGAAGATCCTAGCGCTCCCCGTTTCACAGCTCAAAGACAAACAACCGCAGGGAATAAGCTGGGGGATCGATGGACAAAAGTGATTAGATGAAATGAGAAATGTGGAGGTTGATATTATTGGATAGAGGTCCGAGTTTTCAAGTATTTTGCAAGGTTTGACTATGTCCCGACAAAGGTTCTGTCCCTCAGACTCCTAAGTCAGATGGGAATTGTCAACAACGTCGTTCCAAGGCCTTCTCCCACTAGATGTAAAGTGCACGCGCACAGGAGTGAAGAGGAGCTTCTTTCGCTTGCCCCAAATGACCTCATCAATTTTCTTGCCCCACGCTTATCGGTTTCGGTTATGAGTATAGAAAACTGGAGCTTTTTTCTTGCTCGTTTCTCCCCTATTCACTGACAATTCATACCGTGGCTAGAAAAATGAAGGGAATACATAGGTGTTGAGTCATTTTCAGATAGGTGTACTCTGGGGGATGCTGTTTTCTTTACAATGCCCCGTCATGCCGGGCCGAGACACCGGAAACCACCGTTGAGAAAAATGGGGTGCCCGTGGAATTTTCCGGGAAGGTGGAAGCGGCTAATTTATTGTTTTGCCGTGTGCAACGCGTGTGGACCATATGGTTTGGGATTGAGCGCCCTCTCGCGGGAAGGCCAAGGGGTCGGGATTGAGACTTTTGAGAAGAAAAATAAAATGCGGGAAAGTCGGCTGCGGGTCTATGTGAGACAATTCGAAAAGTTATGTGATTTTATTGATCTTAGCGATTCACTAGAAACCCATCAATCTCCCCGCACCAGGCAGATCAATTGATTTGAAAGAGAAAAGGAGGAAAAACAGGTTCATTGCCCATCCCTTTATTCTCTCCCCCAACCCGAAAGATCCTATCATTCGATAAGGAAGTGGGTGTGGGCGTAGAAAGTTGAAAACAAGGGAGCGGGTTTAAAAACAGTAAAAAAGCTCAAAGACCAACCTTCCGCGTCCAGACAAAGCGTTTTTTACAGGACTGCTGCCGGGTGATCATGATGCAAAATGTAAAAGCGGCCGGTTGGAGTCAGTGGGATGAGAGAATAGCGAGGGAAAATAGGCGAGAGAGTATTTGGCAGGACAAAGTTGGGAAGTAGTGGGGGCAATTGGCGATCGAACCTTTACAATTCTTTTCGGCGCGCCGTCAAATCGAAGCGAGAGTGGGCTGGGGCGGATGGTTGGTTGGTGGTGGTAGGGGGGGATAGATGAGGGCGGAGCCTCTCCCTTCCCCTCCAAATTACGGACCATCGAAAGAAAACATTATTCCGGGGCGATGCCTTTTGTAGAAAACTAACAATGGGATGGGGATGGGCCGTTATTTAGGTGTTGGATAGAATGAGAATTATTTTGGGTATTGGTAGAGCATCAAAATCCGAAAATTTCTCTTTCACAGGGATCACTTGAAAAAAGATTCCAGAAACTATTTTCGATAGTAATATAGCGGATTTAATGACTGTAAATAATTAGCGGATTTAAGGAATTTAAAGCATATTACAAGCTCCAGCGTTAAAAAGGGCTTTAAGGTGCTTTAACACCTTATAAAACTATTTTTCTATATATTAAAATGACTCCAGAAATTTAACTCGTTTGTTGTTGTAATTTAATTTGATGCCGTCTTCAAAAAGCTATAAAGAAGTTTAGCGGATCACTAGTGATTCAAACTTCAATTATCCCAATTACAATTTCAACTAATTATTACCTATATTAAACATTCAAAATCTTGTAACCGATCTCATTCTCCCGCACAATCCTACACCGAGAAATCCCAGGCGTTTCTTTTGACGGATGGCCCACTTTTTTGTATGCTTGCATCTCAAGGCGTTCAAGAGGAAAGGCAGGTAAGCTACTAGTCTCTTCTATTTGCTCCTGAATCTCGACCCATTTCTCCTTGATACTCCCCCTTTCCGACATGGGTGCCCTGGCCAGATTCTTCGTGGCTTGAACATTTGCCATCACGACGATGAACACGTGACTAGGGTGGGAAAGTTTTGGGGTGTTGGAGGGAAAAGGTAAAGGTAAAACTGGCTTTATTTGGGTGGAAAGAAGGGTTGCAGTGTGGTGTAAAAGCTTTTGCTAGGCCTAGAAGGTAAGGGGTTACCGACTATACAAAATTTTTTTGCTATCCCGTTTAGGACCCAGACCAAAGCTTCTCCCCAGGTGTGATCCTTAGCTCCAAGCCCAGGTTTCTGCAGCAATTTCGGCAAAACCCTCTCCCTTTGACGACCACATAAAAACAGCCACAAACACGTGTTTCCCGGCTCAAGAACCCTCAGCTACTGTCCACCAAAATATCCGAACAACCAATCAGCTACCTTGCAACTTCTACATAGATCAAGCTATTGCATAAAAATACCAACCCTGAGTTCTACAGCTTCCTCTTGCTCTTTTGTCCTCTTTGTCATATACTCTTTCTCCAATCTGGAATTTCAGGAATTCATTGAGTTGCCCGGCCTCTGACTCACCGCTTCATCTTTTTCGGATTTAATTGGACTTGATTGGCGACGGCAAAGAGGAGCTCCGGGTCATTTTCGAAGCGTTCCCGGATCTCACGTTGGAAATACTGAAAGAGGGACCGTTGAAAAAAGGGGATGGGCTGTGTTACCTTCAACATTCCTTCCATATCTAATCGGAGGAGGTCGATTCGGGCCTGTTGGAGGATGGCCATCGCCACGGAGAAGATGTATTCCATTCCCTAGACGATAGAGACTTTAAACAGATACGCACGTTTCTAACCTCAACAAGAAAACAGTCCATTATCCGATTGGCAATATCCAAGGGGAGGGTGGTGGTGAAGAGCGTTAAAAACCAAGAAGACGCATACATGGAGGTATCAAAACCCATATTTGTGAAATGGGTGTAGAGGTCGGGCATCTAAAATCGAATAATAAAAATAGGTATCAATTTACTACCTGCTCTTGGACCATAAATTCCAATTGGAACATATTGAGTCCCAGATCGGTCATCGTGGGTTTATACAATTCTCGTAGCCTATAGTTTTCCATCAATCGGACGAGAACGGCAAAAGCTTCTTCCTCTGGCATCTGGAAAAACACTGTATAAACTTATATTTAGTTTTGTTACCTGTAGCAAAAGCTGGCCAACAATAAATGCGCTGCCTTGGCAGTACCCGACTTCTTTATCGTGGATTGAATACGCCTTGATGACGTTGTAGAGTGCCGCCTGGCCTCGGCCGCCATCTTTGTAGAATTCAAGCTCAGGATATGTGCGCGGGATATCCCTTTGAATGACCTAAAATCAAAGGTATTACATTTTGAGACTGTAGATTTAATTTACCTTCTCATACACACTACTTTGACGCATATAATCTGAATACAAATCGTGAATTGAAGAGGCTGAGGCGTTCGATAACAGCTGCCATGCTATCGTTCGGAAATGTTGCGGGATACCTCGTTTAACAAGGGCCTAAAAATTACGATAACATCAATTTAAAATCAGAGATTTGGATACCTTAATATAATTAGGCCGCTTTTTCACTTCGTACTCCCAGTTTCTGATGAGCTCTCCCCAGATAGACCATAGGTCTTCTTCCTCCTCTTCTGGTTGTACGCTTTGCTCCCTCTTGCCGCCGCCTAAATTTTGGGGTAACCCAAGCCGTTCTCCGTCGGAGGCCAAAGGTGTAAAATATCAACTTACCGGTAGAGCCGCTCGATCCGCCGCTCTTTTTTGAGGTGACCGACCGGCAGTCCTCTTCGTTGGATCTGGAAATGGCAAAAATAAAATTTGTTTTTGACGATCATGGATGCTACTTTAATCGGCATTTTAGTGTGCTATCGAAAATGTTTAAAAATAGCTTAGATACTAATTAATAACCTTTAACCTGAATTTTCTTATCTTTATCTAGCTCTCAACTTTCAGTTCATCCGTTTTCAGCCACAAATCTGCCCCATTCCTCCCTCTGCCTTGCCCAAGGGCCAGTTTGTCATGAACAAACGCTGGCGACCGAAAATTGCACCCCAGAGACACAGCCGCAGGGTCATGCTCCTTTCTAGGCCTCTTTCAACAAAGTAGCCCCGGCATGAGCAAGCGAGAAGAGAATAATGCGTTCAGAATGGCCTTACTTGTTTAGCTGCTCCATTTTCTGTAACAGGGAGACGGCCGGGGCCGGGATTGACTCGGAGTCGGACGGGGGCTGTGTTTCGCTGTCAGTTTCGGCTCCACCTGAAAGTTGATGTTTAGAAAAATGGGGGTATCGATGGGTGTTTCCTGTTCGATTTCAAAAGCTAATTTCAATCAGAGAACTCGAATTTTCGGGCAAAACCGAGAAAACAACGGCTTGGTTGGTTTTTGAGACTCTTTAAGGAGTGAGTAAGATGTATGGGATCTTTCAAGTTATGCAAAATAGTTTTGAGGAGGTGAGTGCGGGTGAAATGCCTGGGGTCTAGAGGGTGGGCAAGGCTGGCTGGCCGGCGGCAATCACTCATTTCACAGCTCTTCCACGGGTGACAGCCACAAAGCCATCCCCGGATACCCGCTTCCAATCGTTTCCGGGGGGTGGCCTCCTTCAAACTTGAGCCTTGAAATCCTTACGGGCCAATGAGATTTGATTTTGGGGGGTGTAGAGGAAAAGATAACAGCCTTAGATCGTGAGATTACAGTATCCTTAAATTTTTCGTGTGGGGAGCTACCGTATTTCCGCTAATATGAGCGTTTTCCCAGCGCGTCCGGGGTATATTAGAGATAGAGACGACCTTAGACGTATATTAGAGGTTATACGGTACTCAGGAAATATCGATAAAAATATAGGTAAGTAACGAAATAACGCAATGTTTTTTGGCGTGGCAGATAGGCAGCCGAACTGTATTTGCGCGTAGCATCCAAATGAGGGGGTCCAGTCGGGGGCCCCTGGGTCACGGCTCTAGGGCCCACCAATTGTTTGCTGTCGCCTGTTGGGACCCCAGGTGCAACATAAAAATAACCGCAGTATGTGTGACCGGATCAATATAGGCGCTTCAGAATTTTAGATTGATCTTTGTAGCTAGGGAGCTCCAGCTTTTCGCCCACCCAACGCGATACCTAGCACCCGTCATTACATCAACAAAAAGAGCTGACAGCCTTATTGTGGCGGGGGATTACAGCAGTACGGCCTTAAGAAAAAAATATCGTTGCATGCCCCCAGGGCATCAAATGGGGTGGGAAGGCAGTAAAAAAGAGCCCAAAAAAATGCAAAGTGATACGTTTGCCGGGGATGGAGTGTGAGTATGGGTGAGGATGGGTGGGGGGATGTCGAGAAGGATTAGTGTTTGCGGGGGGAACAGTTGGCCCTCTACCCGTCCGGTCAGGATGGCCCAATTCTTTCTTCCCCCCTAAGGCCCACCCTCTTTTTCGTGCAGCCGCCCCAATGCAAATGCCTCAAAAAAAATTAAACACGCACGGAGAGCAGCGGCACAAGGCTTTGGGGTGGGGCTGTTTTTCGTCTAGGGGAATGGATACGTTTTTGGTGTATTTTTGAGTCGTAGGATGCAAAATTAGAGTATTCTAGATCGCAAGGCAACCTGAAAATCGTAATAGCATTAGAGATCCAGAAGTCTTAAAGAGACAAGGAAGGCAACAAATATCATAATTTTTGCTCAAACGGCCCGGTTGTGTTGTCCGTAATAGGAAGTTCAGGAATAAGTTTTTAGCGACTGAAAATTTCGGAAATGAAACCACCTAATTTTAGAGCGACCACAGTTCGATTTTAAATAAATTTTTAGGATTTTTATTTTTTTTTTACAAAAGAGCCTATGAAGCGTTTCCATGGTTAGACTTTAACCTCCACCTCTCACTCCCCAAAAAAACTCTTCCGAACTTCGGATTTCACAATCCCTCCCCCCACCCAGTCCCCCCACCAATGCATCATATTGGGCAAAAACGGGGACGAGGTCAAGGCCCCCATTATTCCGTTTTGTCCGTTTCACAGCCGTCGAGTAGCGGATTGTGAAAAGATTCGGAAATTTCAAGGTATCATCCCGGGAAAACCATCAAGGGATTTCAGTCATCTGGGCCCGTTTTTCAAATAGAAAATTAACGACAATGAGCGAGAGGAAGGGGGTTGGTTTGTTCAGCCGGACTAGGGAAATCGGTGTGGGCTGGTTGGGGGGTGGGGGAGGCTAATCCGGTTTTGTTGGGGGCTATAGAGAAGAAGGAGGGTGAAAATGGGTTGGCGATAAGCTAAAATTGAGGTGTGAGCTTGTGGAAAACAAGCGATATGTGGTAAGTTGCAATTTAACATAATTGATGGTTTTTTTCCAAGGAAAGAACGGTAAATTTATTGATTTAAAGCTTCTTCAAATGACGAAAAGAAAAGTAAGACAAGGAATCGTTTATTTTTCCGGAAAAGCATGACTAAACGTTCATTTGTTGCAAAGAGCAGGGTTGACTCACACCGGTTCCTCTTTGATTTTTCCTTCACTGTAGCACTTGAGTGAAACTGTAAAAATAAGCGCTCTATAGAAATTTTAACCTTAAAACGCGTACTATCATCCAATTTTTTAAAGTTGCAATTACACAATTCAAGCGAAAAGTGAAGAACTAAAATCGTCAGCTGTTAGAAAGGAAGACCAACGAGGTGAGGGTGTGTATTTGAAGGAAGGAGAAAAGGGTGGAGCGAGGTGGAAATTCGACCCAATACGGGAGGGGAACAACGGGGGCGACGAGTCGAGTCCCGGGGAGACCGGACCGAAGGGGGGGGGGGGGGGGGGGAGCAGCCTCGGGCAACCAGCCTCCATCCCCCTTTTTCTACCCCTCTCAATACATCCCTAAATGCTGCACACACAAAAAAAAGGATAGACAAACATTCAGCGGACGACCATTTATAGATCGGTAGCGGCGGAATTTGTAAGAATGTGGATAAATAATCTAAAAAGAGGCTTTTTACAAAACTGCGCTCAGGAAATTATGAATAAAACTCGAAAATGCGTAGTTTCATAGCATAAAAATGCAGAAATTTCTGCGAGCTTGTGAGAAGACATAAGTCAAAAAGGCAAAATATAGGTGCTAATCAGCTGACCGCGACGAGTAGCGGTCGCTTGCCTTTTTTGCGTCTAAAATTTATGAAAATAATTACTAAGCATCCATTAAATATATTGGTAATGCGAAAGGCTATAAAACAAACTTTAAAAAATCTGGTCCGAATTCCCAGAGTTCCCAGGGCGATTAGCATAATTCTGGGAATGTCATGTAATTTATTTGCAACGTCATAATCCTAAGAACATGATATATTTCAATCGATTACACCCATTTTGAGAAACCGTACATTCCCATATCCCGCCATTATGCGACGGTAAACGACCGGTGCGTGTGCCAAATTGCCCAAAACCCGCCCGTGTCGGTCTAAATCCGCTGGCTGGCAACCGCCAGGCAACGCAAAAACAAGTTCCACTTGTTCTACTGCCGAGAGAACAGTTTTGAACGTCGGGACGTGGTGGTAAAATAATTTGAAACAAATCCTCCCTAGTTAACAATGCATGGATGGAGGACGGATCTTTCTCTCGACAAGCTAGAGCTACTCTCGGGTCTGAGGAACCGGCCTACCCGAAAAGAGAAAAAAAGAAAAGGCGGAAAGGGAGGAAAGGAAGTGAACTAAAATCGATGGGGCCGCCAACCGGTGAATAGGAGGGGGGAGAAGTTAGGAAAGGGAGATATGGCAAATATTGTAACGTAGTGAGGGCGATATAATGGAAATGAGAATTGGTTTAATGCGTCAAGAGGGATTAACGAAAATGCACGGGGAGTGAGGACTTCTATGAAGTCATTACGGTAGTCGACGTAGACCAGAATTAATTGTAAAGCAGATGCCAGCCACTTTCTCGTTATCCTTAAAATACCAGTCTCGTGTTTCTGAGTAAAATCAATAAGGAATTTTTACATCCTTTTAGCTGAAGCTTAGCAAATTACGCAACTGAGTCGTGTTATTAATCAATTTTAGGAGAGACTTTCGGTTAAATTACTCCATTCTCAATTTTAGGCAGTTTTAATTTTTTTCCAGGTTTTCAATACTCAAATCCTAAGTTCTGAAAGAAAAATGTTTCAAACCTATCTAAAGCTTTAATTCTAGAAACGCTCAACGCGAGATGTAAATTTCAAAACAAATCTCAGGCAGTCTTGACACATCAATCAGGCGAAATAGAGTTGAGATAATGACGTGCTACCAAAGCTAGACAAGCACCCGCCTAATCAATAAATCCAGATCCAATGTTAATCTAAAAATGCGAAAACACGCCCGGATCGGATGGATCAATCTGGGCCCCCTGGTGGCATGTGTCCCAATTCTAGAAAGGCGAGAGGCGTGCCGGTGTGTGGACGTGGCGACCAGGTAGAGTGGTGTGCACAGCTTCATGAATAAATGAAACCCGCCGACATCCCACCTCTGCAAGGTCAACTAGGGCCATATTTGGGGTGGACGCGAGCCTAGGGCCCAGACATGTTTTTCGGGGGGATTTGCTTGGGTGGGGGGGGTGTATGTATTTCTATAGAGTTGATGGTTGAAAGGAGTGTTTATTTGGGTGTGTGTTCAAATGTGTTGTCGGGAGGGGGGGAACAAGGCAAGTTGCTTATATATTTGGGTGTGTGTGGTAGATGGTTTGAATCAACGATGGAAGAGAAGAATGGAATGTATAGTCACATCAGGGCCAGCGACATAAACAAAATGTGTAAGAAATTTCGATGGAATACGCTTACAATTTAAAAGTTGCGTGGTATTCTACGCTTGTAGGTGTCATTCATACTTTTCTAAATTAATTGTTCCTAGAAATCTGTTTATGTTCAAAACATGAAAAAATTCAAGATGTTCCATGACTTGGGATCGTTTCTTTGCGCTTTTTGTGCCTAGTTCTAACTACAGTATTCTCATATGAGCCCTGATTCTCTGCAAAAAACTGCAAAATTTAAGAAAAAAAATGATTTTTACAAAAATCAACGCAACTGGTATTTAAATTTGAACACCTCTACCGTAACCACCAACCTTGCGAGATCTGCGAGATCTGCCGCCAGAAGCCCATCTCGGATACCAGATCCCTGTTTTGAACACCACCGTTCCAAAATGACTAATCCACGGGAAAGGCCCAAATTGGTCGCCTGGAAGGGCATTAGCCATACATGGCCAGCTGATAGGAGGGCGGGGTCCCTTCAGGGGGTGGTTGGGTGGTGACAAGGCGGCATTGTCTGTTTGTCTTTCCACTATCGGCCCCTCTTGCACAACGGCTTTATGATTCGGCAACGTCTCCAAAATGTTCGGTGGATGGGCCGAAATGTGGGCAGGAAATGGGATTTATAGGGGGAATATTGATATTTTCAAGGGGGGGAGCGGTCAAGGAAAGGGGGGAATTTGTTGTTAGCAAAAAAAAAATAATATTGCCATATGGCTTTGACAAAGATCGGCAAGTCTAGCTTGTGTATAATTTTTCGCTAAGTTCGAGTATGTTTTTAGATTTTCCAGAATCAACATAAAAAAGTAATATAAGCTTTCTATTAAAAAACTAGAAATTCATCACTTCAGTGACCCTTTAATAAGTAGCAAAATGCAGCGTCAAAGCTTTCCAGAAAAATAATTTATTTGATTGTTTCACTTTAAACCATAAGAAATCAGCATTAAAGGCTCGATGGAAAAGTGAATAATAAAAGAACTACTAAAAAATAACGATAATAACTTACTGTAGTCAGGGGTGTGTCGCAGGGCAGTTGCGGCTGCTGCCATCTCCCGTACCTGGGGAGACAATGGCGGCCGTGGTGAAGACGCCAATCGTGACGGCCTGAAACCGAGGCATTACCATTGAACGATTCACCGAATTTGCATTCTCCCGAAGAAAGTCAGACTATAAAATCCTAAGGTCAAATACCAATTCTAAAAGTTGACCACCGTTCCCACACCCTCTATTGTTGTTAGTAAAAAAGGGATGAGGGAGCGAGGGATGGGGAAACACCCCCGAAATATCGAGCCTGAGGCTTGGGTTCGCTGGGTGGGAGGGCGAACACAATCGACAGGAGATTATTTTCACGCGCGAATCGTGCGCGTCCGCTCGGCCCCTCTAAAACTGTTTGCACGAAGTTGGAGGGGTCGATAGGGGGGATGGTGAGGGGATGGGACGGAGAGGGACCCGGTGGCGGTATGGCCCCCCTTGTTTTTGCACGATCTTCTTGGGAGACGTCGGGAGGGAATTGAACAAAGTTTGGGAGGAGGCGACGTCATTTGGGAATCGATGATTTTGATGGTATTGGGAACGATCGTTGTGCTGCTGAGGCTGGGAAGTTCAAAAGTTGGGAATCGAAATTCGCGGCTAAACGAGAAAAAGGATGAGAAAGATGTTATAAGTTCGGGTTTGGGCTGTCCGTCCAGCTAATCTGGCAAAATAAACCCAGATACGGATGGCAAATGGCTTTTTGTTATGCTAGTCACGTTTTTTATGCAATTGATTTCGGAATTTATACCAGCCTTTCTAGTGCCTTTAAAATCTCGTCAACACCAACTACCCAAAAAGAGACCCATTTAAAACACACTATCCCGCAAAATTTATTACGTAGGCTTGGATTACCATAAAAAGCAGAAGTTCTTTTCTATGCAAATCAAGTTTTTATACAAAAGGATTTGAAATGGTGTCGGTAATTCATAAAACAGCCCATCCCACTGCGTTACCCCCCTTCATCACCCACCATCCTTGAAACCACGAATTATGCGACAACTGTATGTAGTTGTTGAAAAAACTCGACGACGCCTCAATAATCCCGGCCGTCTTCGGGCCGTGCTGATAGTCAGTGGGCAATGACGTCGAGATGAGCACAGGTCGAGGGGTCATTATTTTAGAATAATCCCTGCATAAGAGTACCGGTAGTCCACTTGGAAGGGGTAGAGATAGGTGCTGTGCGGAGCCAGTGACTGGTGTGGCGCGCGTTTGCTCGCTCGCTCTTCCCCGCACAGTTTCGCCCCTCGGTATTGCTGTTTTCCGACTGTCGGGGGCGCTAGGGCCCAGCCTCCCCGCGAGGGGCCCCCCAGCCACACCAACGAGACCACACTCGGCCTGTCTCCCCATCCACCTCGGGATTCCGAATTTGGACGGTCCCGGCTAGCGGCTAGACCCTCCCGAAAACGGGCCCCGTCGAACCACACCTGTCACTGAACACCCCCACACAAAAATACACACCACCCCTCTTCGGGCGGACGGCCGTCGCCGTTGCGTCCGCACAGTACCACACTCTTGACGGCGGTCGGGCTTTTTTTAGAGCCGAGCCCACACCGGGCGCGAAGCTTCGCCGTTGGATGAATGGGAGGAGATGTTCGGGGAGGGGAGGGGGGAATGTGTTTTTGGCTTGGAACTTGGCCAGTGGGTTTGGGGGACGGAGTATGAAAATTGGACAGTATCACCGCGAGTTTTGCCAACCGGTAATGATATTGGATATGCCACAGAATAAAAACTATTGATACCGCCGAGAGGGACCGAATCAAGAAGGAGTCAGAAAATTAGCTATGCAACCAGAAAATTGAGTAAATGTACAAATGTAAGGGTATCAAGTGGGTGCTTTTCAAAAGAGCAAGAGCTATTGTATTTACCTTTAAGATGTTGCAACATGCAAATGATTCCCATAGCTGAAAACCTCTAACTTAATGACCAGGCTTAGTCAGGAAATCTAGCTACTTGACCGAGCATCCCCTAAGAGCTTCCAATCCGCCGTTTTTCGATTTCTCTCACTAGATCGTATCCGGCATTCAGATTCATGACAAAACGTTTTCTGCCATACCACTCGTTTTTTAGAACATCACCAACTTTACGGTCAAGAATTTACGATGCCTATAACCCTCCGGCATACCCAAAAAACACCCCGCCCGCAGATTGTTATTATTCATCCTATTTTTAGACAGCCCTATTTTTATGTCCCCGCAAAAAGTCTTACATCCGCCCTTTCAACCCTCAAAGCTATCGATTTCAAAATGAGCGCCGGTGAGCGAGTTCCCTGTTCGTGGAGGTCGAGTATCACAGCGGGAGACCGAATAATGAAACAATCCCTTCCCCGTTAACGTGTGCCCTTCCTTCCTATACACAAAAAAAACAAGAACACCTGAACGGTGCGCACAACAAAGAAGAATCAAATCGAAAGATTCTGGGGCAATTCGATTTATTCGGGGAGGCCGAGCGGAAGCGGTCGGCCTTGTCTTGACGAGGGAAAGTGGGGGAGGCAAAAAAATTTGCTAAACAATCCATCATCTCGGCCCTCAATGAGGCGAGGAGCCTCGTCCTGAGATTCTTTCACAAATCGACGACAATCGAAAAGGTGGAATGTTTTTTGGGGGGTTGAAGGGGGGATGAGGTGGCCGGACAGCGTCAAAACGTTTTGGACGCTGGTTGGCGTAAGGAGGGCTAGCGGAATTTTTGATCGTGGATCGAATGTAGAATGGCATTTTTTAAAGTTTGCAAAACTGCATAAATAAAAAAAAATGGGAAAAATGATATTAAAAGTCTTGCTCAAAAAGCAAAGAGCTCACCCTTCGACCTCAAAGAAAATGATTTAATCACCAAGCAAGCGGGCGCACAGAAACGAGTCCAGAAAGCAATAAAATTATAAAACACACAATAGTCCCCAGGAAGAGGCGCTTCTTGCAATACCCCCACACACATCCTCATTACTCAAAAACCTACCATCCTTCTACCCTTCAATGCCCTTCTACCCTGCCCCCCAGGGCATCAAGGACCCCCCAATAAAAATAATGCAGCCCCCTGGCGCTCCCCCAAGAAATATTGGCAATTTAGCCCAAAAATTAGAAACGTCGAAAAGCCTAGCCATCCACCCCCTATTTGCTTCCCCGTCGAAGCCGTTATCCGCAGCGCAAATAGATCGTATTGAGGGGTATCGCCTTTCCGCATCAGGTTGTTTTTTTCTTGTGAGGGGAAATCAGTAGGGTTTGATGGTTGGAAAATTTTAGAATTCTTTGGGTGAAGGATTGTGGGTGAGAAGTCGTAATTTAGGAGCGGGTTTTTTGTCGTATTTTGGAGGGGCTAACTATGTCGGAAAGGAAATTGGGTCTTTGCCTGGGGGGTTGGTGGGTCGGGAGAAAGAGCGAGGCGGGGTGAGATAAGTGGAAAGTCGAGGTGGACGGAAATGCAGTTTGAGCACACACAACGTTTAACTTTGTGGGAGGTCTGAGGATGATTGTTTAGCACGTAGCAATTCGAAAATGGCGAATTAATATAATTTTTCCTATATTCATCTTTAAAATTCATTTTTCCAAAAACCAGCTCATCCTCGAAATGGCGCTTTTCGGCATCGTTCACCACATTTCTCGTTTTGGGAAAATCAGCTTTAAAACACGAATTCAGAAAAATGAGCAAAAACGGCAGATAACAGAAAACTACAGAAAAATACTTGTAGGAAAGCTATATAAGAAGGTAAATTTTGTCCAATTCCCATATCCAAAGTGAAAACGGGATCCCCTAGGCTTCCCTTTCGTTGATTTTTGAGGTGGGCCAAGGTCGTAAAGAGGGGGAGCGAGGTCGGGTCAAGGCATCCACCACCCACCAGTCACAACGGAGGAAAATGATGATTATCCAAACTTTACGGCATTTGTTAAATTCACCAAAATCAATAAAAATACCTAAAGTATATCTAATGGACGGCCAACAGATTTGAGGCGCCTTGGCCCAGCTGCCAGGTCATCGACCGTTTGTTTACTTTTCGTCACTGCCAGTTGGGCTTTTCCGGTCTATAGTAAATTGGTATATTTGTGATCTCAAAGGAGGACTGAACTTTAATACATAAATATTAGGAATCCAGATCTTAGAATTCCAGACATAGCGCAAAAGATCGTATTTTGACGTCCAGGCAGCCGGCTAAAGCCCCCCAGGCTCCTCCATTAATTCATGCTCGCACGAAGTAGCTAGCGACCCGACCCCGGAAAATAAAACTTGGCCTACCACAGCGAACCCCGTGGCAAAAAAAATGGATTAAAAATTCGAACGACCTATAAAAATGGGTTCAACCACGCTGGGCTGGTACATTTTTTTGAAGAAACGTGGGGGCTAAAAACTAATTTTAGATCAGAAATAGGGAAGAAGCCGTGGGTTCGCCAATCCGGCAGCCATACACACAAATCATCACGCTCTACCGCCCCCCCCCCTTGCCCCCTCATATCAGAAACTGGAAATGGAAGAAGGGGGGGGCTTACCCGTGTTCATCGTCCCGTCGCCCCCCTCTCTCTCTAGAAAGCAAAAGTTTCTTGGGTTGATTCAAGCCATTTAGCACAACCAAGCCGTTATTGTCAAATCTTTTTAGATCACTAGAATATCCAGAATTACAGCTATTTTCAAAAATAATCTTTTCCGATCTATTCAATCAAGTATACAGCGTTTAACGGGGCATCGGGTTTGGGCAAAACGGTTTTTGGCGTTGGCCGAAAAATTTGGGCGCTGACGCATAAATCACCAGGGGTTGGCGGACAATTGAAGCAGACTGTGATCGCTTTTGGTGGAAAGTCTATGGAAATGGAACGGTATTATGGTAAATGGGGATGGCTCCGAAAAATCTATCAAGCGCAGCCATTGGAAATTGATTGAAAAGTAAATACTGTATTTGTACTGATGCGTGCCGCCATCGATTAGAATAAAAAGGTCTTTTTTGAAAAAATAAATAAAAAGAGAAGCGGAAACAGAGAAGCCCCTCGTCTTTAAAATCTGTCGAAGAAAATCTATTTATAATTTAAAAAAATGTAAGTAAAAGTAACCCCGCCCAATAATAATCCCAATTTAATAAAAATCCGTCCGGGTGGTCCAAAAGCGAACGCAGGGCTCCTTTAGACAAACGGGATCTGAACTAGCAAGCTTTGTAAATCACGGCAGCTGAAAAAAATCAATCATGAGGAGCCATCAGAAGTCTATGCAAAATCGCAAGTACATCATAAGGAGCCATGTAAGTTGTTAATGTTTTGGTTCAATATGCCGTCAATACACCAATACATCCTCGAACGGATCTGATAGCAATCTCCCCCCAGTCGAACCGGTATGAATGAGAGCACCTTCCCCCAGGGGGTTCGACTCTGGTAGCCACTGTCACTCGACAAGTGACATCTCTGAAGTGGACGATCGAGGGAGAACGAATCGATATATTCAGCGTCCTACAGGCCTACAGGTGAAGGAGCCAGAGGGGGAGGAGGGAAGGGAAGGGACGTTCCTGAAGGGACGACAATTAGAGAGAGCCGCGGGGCGTCCTTCAAGAGCAAGCCTACCCACAGAAGAGACACAAACATACAGACACACATACAGACGGAGGGACAGACATACGCACACCACACCGCCACCATCCCTCCAAGTCTCACGCGTCCCTCGCTGGATATCTCTAGCCTCTCCAGGAGCCATCTTTTTTTGGAGCTAGGGCTGGTGGACCCGAAATCCGACCGTCTGCTCTATGGAGCGCGCCGTAATTTTGGCGTTGGATTTTGGAGCGCAAGTGTAAAGGATTGTAGCTTGGCGTAATACGATGTAGATTTAATAAAATTAGGCGAAACCCATAATTAGCAAATATAAACGTTTCTTTGGTTATGTATAAAGCAGAATATCTCCCATCGTTTTGGAAAGGTATTATATGCAGAGTATTGACAACTTCAATTAAATCGAAATGGAAGTTGGATGGTTACAAAAACCTTAAAAGCGGTAAACCGGCTTTAGGTGTAAATAGTACCGCGGTCGGTGAAAAAGCCTACCCCCAGTGCAGTCTAATCCGCGTTGTTAGCGTATTGGTTGCCAAGGAACGGGCACCTTGCCAAGGCTCTCTATACAAATCTACCCTTTGAAGGATCTCTTTATTAGACTAC